TTCAATCCCCAGCACCACAAGAAACAAACTCTGTTTTGGTTTTTTGACACAGGGTCTCACTATGTAGCCTTGGCTGACTACTCACTATGTAGTAGGTTGGCCTCAAACTCACAGAGAACCACCTACCTCTGCCTCCCAAGTGCTTGGAGCAAAGGCATGGACTGTTACACCCAGCAACAAGGACTGTTCTTAAGCAGCTAATTAGAGTTAACTAGGTTTGCATTTTGAAAATTCTAATATCTGTTGTGGAAATAGATTATTTAGGGATGTTTTACCACAGTATGACTATAAAAGGAGAAGCAAGAAAGAAAAACATTGCAATAGACTATCACCAATCTGACCACTAAGCTATAAACTACTCACCCATGTTGAAAAGAGCTGCTTTGTGTTTCTGAATCATCACTGTCACTGATGACAATAGTCTCTCCATCAACACTGCCCACATGCCCATTAGCAAAACCATTTTGATGTAATGGAGGGAGGACTTCCAAGATTCTGCACTGCAGCCTGAAACAAAACCACAAAATATAAGCCATTTGACATTTTATAACCCAACTTTTCAGAAGTTTGTTATTCTGATTAGCTCATTATTTACTTATTTAATTTCATGTCAGATAGGTAATATGCCTATAATAAGGTCTAAAAGAGACACATCTTACTAGCAATATAATCCAAATCTCATTCATCAACTACAACAGGGTCTGTCTTTTGAAGACTATGGAGGACTAAATAATTTAATTTAAAAGAAAATTTGCCATCTAGTTTTAAAATTCAATTGATAAGATTCTTAAGTTGGTGATGAGGCCAGCTGGTACAGTGCTTGTCAGCATACACAAACCCATGGACTCAAAACCCCAGAACTACAGATAAAAAACAACAAGACAGCATTATTTCTGGATGTGGTTGAGAGTGTTTCCAGAGGAAATAGAGGTATAAATCAGTGTGATTGGTGAGATTTGCCCTTCATGATGTAGGTATAACCCAATTAGTTTCTCCCCATATCATACTCAACAAAAGGCAGGAAAAGGTAAAGTCTCTTTCTTCCTGGGATACCCTACTCTCCTTTGGAGGAGAATCCCAAGATCTTCTGGGCTTTGATAGCTGCAGCACTGTTCATCTTCAGACTGTCAGCTGTACCATCAGCCTCCTGTTTGAGAAGCCTTCAGATATGGACCCAGAAACCCTATGATGCCACTCTGGTAATCCGTTTGTCAGGTAGCCAATTTTGTGAGAACTTTGTTGTCAGAACCTAGAGAGCCAATTCTCTTAAAATCATCCTTCCTCTCCAACCCCTTCCCCCAAATATAGATTCCATCTTTCTATATGGCTTAATACAGTTGTCTATCTTTTTAAATCTAGTGAGTCTACATTGTCTTTAAAATAACTGATTATAACAATCAAATATTGGTATGTCATATAGATTGAGCCTTGTAGTTCTTCAAAGATCCAATATTTTAAATTGTAACAGTCTTTTAACCACTTTTTAAAAAATATTTGTTTATTTATGGGGGCGGTGGAGAGATGGCTCAGCAGTGAAGAGACTATAATGGGATCTTAGATTTATTTACTTATTATGCATAAAGTATTCTGTCTGCATGTGTGCCTGCACATCAGAAAAGGGTATGAGATTCCATTACAGATGGTTGAGAGTGACTATGTGGTTGCTGGGAATTGAACTCGGGACTTCTGGAAGAGCAGTCAGTGCTCTTAACCACTGAGCCATCACTCCAGCCTCTTGATTACCATTTTTTATTCTTACCATTAAGTCTAGTGATGTTTCCTGATCTTTGAATATTTTTTCTATTCCTGAATTCTGTAACCACTATTCTGGCTTTCTCTTAATTAAAAACAACAACAAAAGCCACCTACTATTATAATTGTTATTTTATAATGCTGGGGGTTCAAACCTGGCACATCTCACATATGCTTTACTATAGGACACTCACCTAGTGCTAACCTGGTCTTTTACTCTGCACACATTATCTGGACTGTATGGGAACAATTTCAGATTCATTTACTAATTAAAATACTCTTTAGTTCCATTACAATTGTGTCAACTTTCAGTGACAAAAAAATTTTCACCTGCTTTTTCCATTATCCCTCTTGCAACTTCTGAAATCAATCTATTTTCAATTGTTTACTTATGTACTACCACCTTACCCCACACACATTAGAAAAGACAAACCATTCTCCTCATGGCCAGATACATTCACTCAATGAATTTCCTTCCCTCTCTGAATTCAACCTTGAGTCCACATGGCAGGAAAGAATCTATTCCTGGAAGCTGTTCACTAACCACCACATGTACACTGTGACATGGACACATGGACATAGGGACCATACAGACACACACACAATGCCTTAAGAAATAAAAGAAACCCTTAGCCGGGTGGTGGTGGCACACGCCTTTAATCCCAGCAATTGGGAGGCAGAGGCAGGTGGGTTTCTGTGAGTTGGAGACCAGCCTGGTCTACAAGAGCAAGTTCCAGGATAGGCTCCAAAGCCACAGGGAAACCCTGTCTCAAAAAAACAAAAACAAAAACAATAACAACAAAAAGCTTGTACACACATGCCCATAGCAGCATTATTCATAATATCCAAAAAAAAAAAAAAAACCCAGAAACTAAAAACATGTTGTTATACATCTAATACAATGGAATATTATTGAGGGAAATAAAGGAATGAAGTAGACAATGAAGCATGTGCCCATAATCCCATCACTAGGAAAGCTAAAGGACCGGAAGCGTAAGTTTAATGCCAGCCTCAGCTACAAGTATACAAATCTGTCTCAAGAGGAATTGCACACTGATGCACACAATAGAGATGAATCGTGAAAACATTAAAAAACAACAAAATGTAGGCCTCCATATAGTTTCCAGGACAAGAAAATCCACAGAGAAAGTAAACAGAGGAGTAGACACCAGGAAGTTGGTGGAGGGGTGTAGTGGAAACGGGTAATGATTGCAAATATGCACAGGTTTCTTTCTATGTGTTGAAAGTTTTCTAAAATTAGATTGTGGTGATGTTTAAAAACAGTGTATTAAAAAAAACACTTAATGCACATTTCAAATGAGCTAATTTTATGACAAGTAAAACATATATTCAAGTTACTAAAAGACTGACAAGTGGGACTGGGGAGATAGCTCAGTGGTTCAGAGCATCACTGTTCTTCCCAAGAATGGGGGGGATGGATAGGGGTGTTCAGTTCCCAGCACTCACATGTCAGCTCACAACCATCAGTAACATGGTGCACTGATGGAGAATGTACTTCTTTGTATATTTATCTTATTGATTATTGAATAAAATACTGTTTGGCCAATGAGACAGCAAGTTAGACAGGACTAGGAATCAAAGAGGATTCTGGGAAATATAGTAGAGAAGTGGTGATCCAGGCAGGAAGTGACATAGTAAGGAGACTCATATAAGCAAGAAGAAAGTACACAGACAGAAATGCAGACAAAAAACCCATACACATAAAATAAATAAATGAAAAAAATCAGACATACTGAACATTGTAATTTAAGTAACAGAAGCAGGTAGTAGTGGGATTACTTTTACTATTCCTTTACAACTCTTGAAATTCAGGGAGGTCTTACTAAGAATACCCTGCACTTATGAATTCCTCGAAATGAGATATATCTCTGTTCTCTGAGAACCTTAGATGCTGTGCTGTTCATTTGAGTGTGGCATTTCATGAACAAGGGTATGTGTGTGGTGTGTGTGTGTGTATCTGTTATCCAATGAAGATATAAATAGCAAAAAACATAAAAACATTTGTAAAACACAGAATCAAAATCACAGCTCATATATCCAGTAAGGTGGTGTTTGTCTTTTTTTTTTTTGGTTTTGCAAGGCAGGGTTTCTCTGAATTGTTTTGGAGGCTGTCCTGGAACTCACTCTGTAGACCAGGCTGGTCTCAAACTCACAGAGATCTACCTGCCTCTGCCTCCGAGTGCTAGGATTAAAGGCGTGTGCCACCAATGCCCAGCTGTAGTATTTATCTTAAAAGCAAAATTTATCATAGAAGCTAACAAGTATTAGTAATGCTGTAGAGAATAAAGAACCAATGCTATGTAAAACAGCATTTCCATTTCCCCACCAAGGCAAACACAGGGTTATCATATAACATATAACCTATTAAACTCCACTTTAAAAATTTTTAACAAAAAAATTATAAACAAGCTGAGCAGTGGCGGTGAACACCTTTAGGAGAGGTAGCCAGAGCTACAGAGAAAAACCTGTCTCGAAAAACAAAACAAAAATTAAAAGCAAATATTTAGATACTTGAGCACCAATATTTCCAATAGACAAAACCTGGAATCAACCAACATGTCCTCTCACAGATGACTGGATAAACAAAATGTGGTTATATAAGCACAACAAAACATTATGCCATAAAAAGAATGATATTCTAATAGGTTCTACAATATGAATGGACCCTGAAAATATTCAGTGTGATAAGACACAAAAGGACAAAGACTTGAGCCTGCTTATATGAAGTATATAGAATAAGGAAGCAAGTTTATAAAGACAGTCAAAAAAAGGTTACCAGGGGCTGGGGGAGGGTAGAATGGGACGTTATTGCCTAATGAGTACAGAGTTTCTGTTTGGAATGATGAAAATGTTCTGGAAATGGTGGTGATAGTTATATAACACTGTGAACGCCACTAAATTTAGCAATAAAAATGATTAAAATGGTAAAATCTGTTTTATATAACAAAAAAGAAACCTTTGTTATTGTCCTAACAGAAAAGTCTGAGAAGAAACTCAATGAACACACCTACACTGTCAGAAATCGAAATTCTGTCTAAATATCTACAGGCTAACTTTCACACTGTTTGACAAGTAACCTGAAGTTTCTAAAGAGGAAAAACTGCAGGAAGTCATATCCAAACTTTCTAGGTAGTGATGTAGTTCGCTGATAAGACTCTGGAATTTGGAGACATGAAAGTAATCAATTAGGTTCACTTAATTCTTTTCTTTCTCTTTTTCACAGGACCTGGCTATTGCACCCACTTTTGAAGACTTAAATCTCATATCCAGGAATCCTATTACCCAGTCTTCTAAGGCAATGAAGGGAGCTTTAGAGGAAACCTGTATCAGAACACTCTTCATCAGAAGAGTCCATACATTACTGACACTGATGGTGATTGGTCATGAGAGGAGAAAAAACAAGTCCACTTAGCACAATAGGGCTTATGGAGCTGCAAGAATTTGAGGTACTAATTTACTTAAAACCAACAGAAAGAATTCCTTACAGAGGAACTAGGGGGAAGGAAACTGCCTAGAATGTGACACATCAGTATCTAACAGATTCCACAGAAAATTTGCTTCTGTCTTTCAAATCTGTTTGCTACTATTTATTTCTTGGTTCAAGAGAATTCAAAGATTATTGAGGTACAAAAAAGCTAGAGGGGTGGATGGTGGTACATGCTTTTAATCTCACTTGGGAGACAGAAGCAGGTGGATCTCTGTGTGTTCGAGGTCAGCCTGGTCTACAGAACTAGTTCCAGGACATCCAGGGCTACACAGAGCAACCCCACTTTGAGAAACAAAAACAAAACAAATAAACAAAAAAGCTAGAGAATCATGAAATAATTATCATTGACAGTATAGACTTCAAGTCATATTTGTTTCAGAAAATGGAAAACTAGCTTAACAATCATGACCTATCAAGTGGCAATCCCCAGCACCTCAGGAGGTATGTTGCTTGCTCACTCTAGGGAAAAGAAAGAAGCCTATTGATATAGCTGTACATGAATAGCATGGGGAAGTGCTTGTAGTGACAGAAATGTTCTGTAGCCAATCAATGCCAATATCCTGGTTGTGTTGCTGTCATCATAATTTTGCAAGATAATTATCACTGAGAAAAACTTTGTTTTACAACTGTATATGAATGAATCTCTGATTATGAGTATTTACTCCATATAGGAGAAATAAATCAATAAGGGATAAAAGGGTAACCCCAAAGTCAAGGCCAGCCTGCACTACATAGTGAGTGAGCAGAGCCCAGCTAAAGCAACAAAACAAGAATCTGTCTCAAAAAAGTAAAAGTAAAAAAAAAGCTAACATAGTAGGATGGTAAAGGCACCTGCCACTAAGCCTGATGTCATGAGTCTGTTCCCCAGAATCTACATGGTGGAAGGAGAGAATCAATTCCTACCAGTTATCCTTTGATTTAAAGGTGGCATGACCCCTCCCAAGTAAGCATATAAATGTAAAAAATAAAAACTAGGCCAGGCGGTGGTGGCTCACACCTTAATCCCAGCACTTGGGAAGTAGAAACAGGCAGATCTCAGTGAGTTCCAGGACTGGTTCCAAAGCTACTGGGAAACCCTGCCTCAAAAAATCACCCCCCCCCCAAAAAAAAAGGAAGAAAGAAAGGAAGGAAGGAAGGAAGGAAGGAAGGAAGGAAGGAAGGAAGAAAGGAAGGTAGGAAGGAAGGAAAGAAAATTTTTAGAATGTTGTTTAGAGCATCTCTTAGCCAGGAACTAGTAATTTTAGTCTTATTATAGCTTCATTTATTTTGCTATGTCAAATAATCTGACCAAAAGCCAACTGGCAGGAGAGAAGGGGGCTTATTTAACATGCAATTTCTAAATTACATTCATTATTTTGGAGATGCTAAAGGCAGGAACTCAGGCAGCTAGTCATGAACAAAAGAAAAACATCCTTCCTTCCTTGCTCTTGTCTTGTTCAGGAATCCTAGCCTACAGAATAGTGCCACCCACAATGGACTGGGTCTTCCTATATCAACTAACAAGACAAGAGACATACCTGCAAACCAGTATGATCTGAATAAGTAAGAGTCCCTTCTCAAACCATGCACGCCTTTAATCCCAGCATTCAGAACCAGAGAAGAAGAATCTTTATGAGTTGGAGGCCAGCCAGGTCTACACAGGGCTTTGCAGGACAGCAAGGCCTACATAGAAGAACTTTGTCTTAACCACACACACATGTATGCACACCATAAAAGACCAGTAGTATCTGTTAACTAAATGAAAGCCTTAAAAAAAGAAAAAGAGGTGAGTGCTGCAGAGATGGCTCAGGGATCAGGGTCAAGAGCACTGTTGCTCTTGCAGACCTGGGTTCAGGTACAGCACCCACATTCCTCAATTTCTAGTCAAACACTAATAGTGATACATCTGTAATCCCAGGCAGGACAATCAAAAATTCAAGATCATCCTTAGCTATATAACAAATGTGAAGCTAGCCTAGTTACTTGAGACCCCATTACCCACAAACAAACACTCCTTTCCAAAAAGATCCAGTCACAGGCATTAAGCATGTATGTATGTGTTTAAATCAAAAGAACTCTATTTAATCCATTTGTTCTCAATGTGACTAATTTTAATGACAACTCAGGAATTGCATTGAAGATAGTAATATAAAAAGAAGCTCAGGCTAGCAAAGTACTTACTGTAACAAGCTCGAGAACCTGAGCTTGATCCCCAGAGCCAACATGTATGGGGGGGGGGAGAAGGAGAGAGACTGGCTTGTCTCGGAGACACAAAGATGGAGGTCACAGTGAAGTGACTTGGCAGTACTGGGTGCCTGCTCTTCAATTCTGGCAGGGTGTATACTGCTGCCATCAATTACCCCCTTCATTGACCTCACTACATGATTTATATTACATGTTCCAGGATGATTTCACCCACAGCAAGTTCCATGGCACAGTCAAGGCTAAGAAAGGGAAATTTATCATCAATGGGAGAGCTATCTCCATCTTGCAGAACCAAGATTATTCTCCCAACATCAAATGGGGTGATGCTGGTACCAAACATGCTGTGGAGTCTACTGATGCTATCACCACCATGGAGAAATCAGAGCCCAAGTGGAGCAGGGAGCCAAAGTGTCATTACCTCTTCACCTTCTACTGTCCCTCCATGCTTGTGATGGGCCTCAACTACAAAGTACGACAATAATGCCTCCTGCACTACCAACTGCTCAGCTACCCTTGGCCAAGGTTACCCACAACAATTCTGTGGAGGGAATCATGCATGACCACAGGCCATGCCATCACCCCACCCTGAAGACTGTGGATGGCCCCTATGAAAAAGTGTGGCATGATGGTCATAGGCTGCCCAGAACATCATCAGTGCATCCACAGGAACTGCCAAGGACATGGTGCAAGGCCATTTCAGAACTGAATGAGAAGCTCACTGCTATGGCCTTTTGTATTCCTATCCCCAGTATGACCTGCTGCTTTGAGAAGGCTGCCAGGTACAATGGCATCAAGAAGGTGTTGAAGCAGATAAAGGGCATCCCATGACTCTAACTGTAACACCCATGTTTTCATCATTGATGCTGGGGTTGGCATTGCCCTCAATGACCACTTTATCAAACTCATTCCTGATACAACAAGGTGGTGGACCTCATGGTCCACATGGCCTCTGGACAATACACCCAGCAAGGACATGAGAGGAAGAGAGAAGCCTTGACTGCGGAGGAGTCCCTGTTCCAACTCAGTCTCCAACACTGAGCATCTACCCTTACAGCTTCCATACTAGACCCATACAAGGAGGAAAGGGGCTCAGGGAACCCGAGTCTGTCAGATAGCATCAATAAAGTTCATTGTACCCAGAAGGAAAAAAAAAATGAACAAAGAAGTATGTGTTTAGAAGCCCAGCTTTGAGAGGCAGAGACAGTAACCCACAGGGTCCACTGTGTAGCCAGCCTGATTTGCATACATGATGAGCTCCGGGCCACTAGAAACTGTCTCAAACAATATGATGGATGGCACCTCAGGAAGCTACACCCAAGGTTGACCCTTGGCCTCCACATATACTATATATAGACCATGCATTCACACACATAAACATAAAGAATTCCAAGAGAAAAGGACCATTTTTCTCATTTATAATTGTATCATATCCTGAGTACCCACTCTTTGTATTAGCTGTTTTTGTGCAAGTTTTCTCTTTTATTAGTTCAAATTACTGAGAATATACTTTAATAGTTGGAAACTTAAGAGTACAAGTGTGCTGGAACTCACACACAGACCATACTGGTGTTATCCTGCAGTAGTGACCCTCCCACCTCTGCCTCTCCAGTTCTGAGATTATAGGCAAGCAAACACCATTTTCAGCGTGGAGGTCACCAATTGATATACTCACCAGGTTAAAAGGATTAATATTTATTTTCCAAGGTAGTTAGAAAACAATATTGAAGTATAATAATTTATGCTTTTTCACTAAATAATATTTTTTTTAAAAGTTAACTCCATTGGGGACAGAGAGACAGTTTAGCAGTAAAGAGTATATACTATTCGTGTAGTGGACCCAGATTAGGTTCCCAGCACCCACTTAACAGCACACAACTGCCCAGTCGCAGGGAATCTGATATTCTCTTCTGGCCCCTACACATAGGGCACATACATATATGCAAGCAAACATGTATGTAAAATCTCCTTAAAAAATTCTTTAAAAACTTAAAATCCAAATAGTATAGGGATCCTATTTAGGATACCCCTATCCCTAGCTGTCAATTAAAACTCTTTGGTACAAATCTGCTATGTTACTTATTAGCCTAGGTTGGGAAAAGTCTGCCAGTCAGCTAAAGGTCTAACATTATTGAAAGGAAATGCAGTTAAGCTCGTATAGCATTATATGCAGGAGAAGCACTTGAACTCATGGGCTCCAGGTCAGCCTAGGCTCCAGTGAGACTCTACCTACAAACAAGCAAGCAAGCAAGCAAGAGAAGGAGCTCTTTCTTTTTCTTTTTTAAGATTTATTTATTTATGTAGAGGAATGCTTATTTGCATATATGCCTATATGACAGAAGAGGGCATCAGATCCCATTATAGATGGTTATGAGCCCCCATGTGGTTGCTGAGAATTGAACACAGGGACTCTGGAAAAGCAGCCAGTGCTCTTAACCACTAAGCCATTTTGCCACCCCCAAAGGAGTTATTTTGAAGAACTCACTACAGGTCAGTAAAAGAAATACTTTTCTGCAGCCTCAGGGAAGGGTTTTTTGTGTGTTTGTTTTTTGAGACAGGGTTTCTCTCTGTAGCTTTGGAGCCTGTCCTAGGTTGTCCCATGCTTCAAAGTGCTGGGAGAACAAGTGTGTCGACCCATCCAGCTTATCTATACATTCTGACACAAGAAAACATCCAAACCATTACTAAGTCAAAATTATTATAATTGTGGGAAAAGTAAACTACGTATTCACATTTTGACTGATATTTCTGAAGGGAGTATTTGAGAAATGGACATATATAATTTTAATGGATGAATTATATAAAAGAATTAGATTTTCACCTAAGTGTTTGATTTATAGCTAGGGTTTCCCAAATACCATCGTGTGTGTGTGTGTGTGTGTGTGTGTGTGTGTGTGTAGAAGAGGAGATGGAGAGATACTGACCTTATTTTAATAGAAAAAGCATATTTTAAAAGTTCATACTCTGCACAAATAAAGCACATAACGTTTTTTTTAAAAATTCAGAGCCAAGCTGGGCTTTGGTGGTGCACGCCTTTAATCCCAGCACTAGGAAGGCAGAGGCAGACAGATCTCTGAGTTCCAGGCCAGCTTGATCTACAGATTGAGTTCCAGGACAACTTCCGAAGCAATACAGAGAAACCCTGTCTCCAAAAAACAAAAACAAAACAAACAAAAAATTTAGAGCCATAGCGAGGTAGGGGTGGCACACACTTTCAATCCCAGCACTCTGGAAACAGAGGCAGGCAGATCTCTGTGAGTTTGAGACCAGGTCTATATGAGCTAGATCCAGGACAGGCTCCAAAGCTACAGAGGGAAATCCTGTCTTGAAAAGTCAAAAATAAATAAATAAATAAATAGAAATAAATAAATAAACAAATGAGGCGGGGCTGGAAAAATGGCTAAGCGGTTATTCTTTTAAAGGACCTGGGTTTGAGTCCTAAGACCCATGTGACAGCGCACAACCATCTGTAACTCCAGTTCCAGGGGATTTGATGGCCTCTTCTAGCATTTGAGAGCATCAGACACACGGTTTGGAACACACGAATAAATGCAGGCAAAGCACAAATGCATATAAATTAAATTAAATAAAATTTAAGGCAAAAAAAGAAAATGAGGCAAATAAGAGAATACTGAGATGAGCCAATCCAGAGTATTAAACTCACTCAATATAAGAAAGACCCCAATCCCTTTTCTCTTCATGTTCTTTCTAGTAAGTCTAAGAGAAACGAGGGATTTTAAATAACTTGCCAAAACATATACAGTAACTTAGAATCTAAAGTTAAATAATTCATCTTGAAGTGGAACTATAGGCCAGACTGGCCATGAACTCATTATGTAGCCAAGGATTGCCTGGAATGTCTGACCCCTCTATCCCTACTTCACTTTATGCCATTCAACAAATGGAACCCAGGGCTTCCTGCATGTCAGGAAGCACTCTACAGAGTGAGTGACATCCTTTGCCTAAAGAAAAAGCCATCCAATAATAGAAGGAAAATTATTAGCAGACGTTTCCTCAGCATCTATTTACACAAAGGTTCAATATGTATGCAACACACATACTTTTTCTTTCTCTTCCCATTTAAACAAATAAAATGTAATAAAAAAATAAAATTTATAGCCAGGCAGTGGTGGCGCACACCTTTAATCCCAGAACTAGAGAGGTAAAGGCAGGTGGATATCTGTGAGTTCAAGGCCAGTCTGGTCTACAGAGCAAGTTCCAGGATAGCCAGGGATACACAAAGAAACCCTGTCTTGAAAAAATAAACAACTTTACAGATATTAAAATTCATAACTTTAGCCGGGCGTTGGTGGCGCATGCTTTTAATCCCAGCACTTGGGAGGCAGAGGCAGGCAGATCTCTGTGAGTTCGAGGCCAGACTGGTCTACAGAGCTAGTTCCAGGACAGACTCCAAAACAATACAGAGAAACCCTGTCTGGAAAAACCAAAAAAAAAAAAAAATCATAACTTTCTCAAACTATAAGCATATAAAAGTATTCTATTAAGAACAAGTCATAACTATATGGATGTTTGTGTTTTCACTCTCTATTCCTTAATAATTGTTTTATACAGTGCTAAGGATTGAACACTGGACCTTGTACATGCTAAGCAAGTACCCTACCATCGAGGTATATCCTCAGCATCTATTCCTAAATTAAATTATTCTTTATACTTTTTCTCTGTGTAGCTTTGGAGCCTATCCTGGCATTCACTCTGGAGACCAGGCTGGCCTCAAACTCAGAGAGATCTGGCTGCCTCTGCCTCCCAAGTGCTCTTTATACTATTTTTATACTGTTTTATACTGCTTTAATTTTTGTGTGTGGATGTTTTGCCTATATGTATATCCATGTACCACATGTGCTCAGGGCCCACAAAGGCCAAAAGAGGATGTTGGACCCGCTTCCTGGAATTAAAGTTACTACAGATGGTTGTGAGCAGATTTGTGGGTGCTGGGGACTGAAGGGGTGTGTGGGGGGGGTGTAAAGGAACAACCAGTGCTCTTAACAGCTGAACTCTCTCCAACCTCTCAGTCCAATACTCCATAAGCTCATTTAACATTTACTGATCCTGCTCATTTAATTAGAACAAAACTCTGTTTCAGAGCAATATAATGAAGAACTTAACTTGCTAGAATTAAGATATCTCTTCCAAACATAACAAACAAGCCAAAAAAAAAAAAAAAAAGGAAAAGAGAGGGAGGGAGGATTAAATGCTGAGCTACCAGGCTTGGCAAGCATCGAAAAGACCAAAGTAGTCAGAGTGTAGAGAAGCAGGCCTCACAGCCACTAAACCTGCTCCTTCCTTCCCAAGTTCATCATAGTAACCTGGAGAGACTACAAGTTCATTCTCCTCCTATCTCTCTCCTCTCTCCTGTCTCCCCTCCACCCCCTCTCTCCTGGACTCCCATAGAACATCTTAATCTCCTTAATATTTGCAACATTCAGTCCACTCACAACGACATTTAATCCCAGCACTCAGGAGGCAGAGGCAGGCAGATCTCTGTGAGCTTGAGGTTAGCCTGGCCTACTAAGTTCCAGGACAGCCTCCAAAGCTACAAAGAAACCCAGTCTCAAAAACAAAACAGAACAAAACAAAAAAGAAAGAAAATAAACTAACCGACCACTGGCTGCTTAAGATTCCCTTCTCTACTTAACCCTTACACAATCCTTTTTAAAATGAGACTGCCATCACTCCTTCTCCAACTAGCCTCCTCTCTTGTTGTGACCAATATCTGGTTAAGAGGCAACCTTTGAGGACGTGGGAGAAGGCATGGCAGCACAGTGGACGGCAGCACTCTGTATCTCAGCAGACCAAAAGCAGAGAGAGAACACCAGCTTTCCTCTTCCCTCCAAGCAGAAAATCTGAACCTGTTATAAATTACTTGGTCATGGGACACTGATGAAGCCTCCATGACCCTCTCAACCTTACGTCTTACATACCTACAAGACCAACACAAGGAAATGCTGCCACAGGTTCAGTAGCCACTCAAGACATATAGCCTTGAGGACACGGCTGTAGTGTCCTCTGTAGCTAAAACAAGGGAAACACTTCCTAGACAGCTGTTTTCTAGCAGAAGACCCAGAAGGCTCAATCTAGTCAGGCATTCTCCTTCCAAATTCACTTACTATTTCCTTGCCCTAGGCAACTGCTTGCTAGCAGGATGCCCTGAAGGTTCTACCTTGACAGGCATTCCCCTTTCAAATGAATGCTATGCCCTGGAGCTCTCCTTGGATACAGGTCATGCTTTCATGATCTCTCACTCAGACCCAGTCTACTTAGTATGGGAGAATAAAGGCAGGTGCCACTACAAAAAGCCATACTTATTATTATTATTTGGCTTTTTGAGACAGGGTTTTTCTGTGTAACAACCCTAGCTGCCCTGGAACTAGTTCTGTAGATCAGGTTGGTCTAGAACACACAGAGATCATCTGCCTCTGCCTCTTAAGTGCTGGTATTTACATTATTTTAAAAGAACATAATTGGAATGTTGTATCTAATAGAGGGGAAATTTTAGATATAATCACAGAAATGGTCAAACCCAGTCCTGTGAAGTAGAAACAAGATTGGG